CAGAGTGAGAACACTTCCACTTCCTCTGCTGGCACAAGCACGCACAATGCCAAGCGTCCGTGCACTATGAAAATTAAAACCACCGCGTGAGTAACACGCGCACTACCCATAGCGAGGAAAACCGAAGCGCCCCTCGCGAGCGAATAGAAACAATTTTTTCCTGCCTACCTGTGAAACATATAGAAGGTAGGCGCCATAACTAATATATTTATATATATATGGTTGTATGCAATCAGACATATGTACACACGCCTCCTTAATGTGTTGCAGTTTTCTTTTTTTTTGCGGTACATTAATGCTCAACTAATAACTATACCCAAACACGCCGATAGACAATATTTGAGATGCTTCCAAATTATGGGAAAGAATAAGTGGGTTATTACTTCTAGTTTATTATATTTGCAGTGCTCCTTTAAACATCTGAAGAAAAAAAAGTGAAAGTCGTTTACCACTCCCTGTAACGCCGAATTGGAGCGCAGCTCTTGAGGAGGAGGAGGGGAGGGTACTGAGGGCCACGTGTTCTTGGGGGGGGGGGGGTCACGTGACCCCCCCGAGGGCACGTGACCTTGGTGGGGTCACGTGGGGGCAAACACGTGCCCCCTCAGAGGTCACGTGACCTCGGGAGGGGGTCACGTGACTCCCCAGGTCACGTGACCCCCTGGGTCACGTGACCAAAATTTTTCCGCTAGATTTAGCGGGGAAATTTTTTCCGCTAGATTTAGCGGGGAAAGTTTTTCGCTAGATTTAGCGGGGAAATTTTTTCCGCTAGATTTAGCGGGGAAATTTTTTCCGCTAGATTTAGCGGGGAAAGTTTTCCGCTAGATTTAGCGGGGAAATTTTTTCCGCTAGATTTAGCGGGAAAATTTTTTCCGCTAGATTTAGCGGGGAAATTTTTCCGCTAGATTTAGCGGGAAAATTTTTTCCGCTAGATTTAGCGGGGAAATTTTTTCCGCTAGATTTAGCGGGGAAATTTTTTCCGCTAGATTTAGCGGGGAAAGTTTTCCGCTAGACTTGACGGGGAAATTTTTCCGCTACATTTAGCGGGGAAATTTTTTCCGCTAGATTTAGCGGGGAAATTTTTTCCGCTAGATTTAGCGGGGAAATTTTTTCCGCTAGATTTAGCGGGGAAATTTTTTCCGCTAGATTTAGCGGGGAAATTTTTTCCGCTAGATTTAGCGGGGAAATTTTTTCCGCTAGATTTAGCGGGGAAATTTTTTCCGCTAGATTTAGCGGGGAAATTTTTTCCGCTAGATTTAGCGGGGAAATTTACCCATAATGCACCGCGCGGTTACGCCGACGGCGACGCCGCTCAAGCCGGGAACGGGCCTTTAAGAGCTGCGCTCTAAAACGCGGCACCCGTAACAATATGTATATAAATTTAGAACTCCAGGACTAGATGCGTATGTGTGTACGTGTGTGTGTGTGTGTTGGGGTGTGTGGGTGAGGGGGACAGGTATTTCTTCTCACGGTGTCACAATCAATCTTGATAATCGTGGTTTCTTTTTTTTCATTTTGTTTTATGTCCGTCTGACTGACTGACGGCTGATTCGCACCAATAACTCTTCACCGTCATGCTTCGAGGGATTGTGCATGCCGGATGTACAACCGGAAAGAATTCCGTTGAGATTCAAGCATTCAATAGCCCTAAAAAAGTGAAAGGGGCACGGAAACGAAATGTCTGCACTTGCTTGCTTAGATGTGGTCTACATTGTGCCGACAGCCCAGTAATACCTAGAATTATGTTGCTCAGCTGCCGGCAGAGAAGTCCAGAAAGCTAATTTTGAAACGAAGTAACATATTTCAACATTGCGTCTGGTGGCGGTTTGTGAAGCTCCGTGGAAAGCAGCGCCAGTTTGCGGCAGAATGGCTCGCCGTAAAGTTACCCACTCCTGAATGTGACTTAGCGGAACACGCTATCCAGTTGACTACGTTGTGCATGTTAAAGCTTCCACAGTGCTTCCGCAACGTGCATTCCATACCTTCAAGAACGCCGTTTTTTGCGGACGTTAGGAAGGAGCTTGATCCGAGGATGCCGGGACGTCTGCCAGGCCAACCATACCCTCCCCGTCCCCGCCCCCCAGGCCAACCGCACCTAAGCGGTACAACTTAGGCCCGTCAATGCCATTTGGAAGTAAACGCGAGAAAGCGCCGCTGTCGTGCTAAAAGTGCCGAGCTGAGTACACGCTGTCCATCGTCCCCACTATAGAACTACACGCACATCGACGCGACCCAACGTAGCGAGCGATTAAACACAGAGAAGCAAAACAGGCCCCACGGGGCCACCAGTGCGCATCTGTGTCGCCCAAGAGGTTCCCAAATCGGTTCGAGACCTCGACATCGAGAAAAACAAACACGGCCATGTCGTGACGGTTTCTCATCGGCTTCGTGCAGCAGCTCAGAATCGAACACCTAGATCGTATCTGGGATCACGACATGGAGACCACTTATTTTTGCTTCTTGGGACACGCACACACGACGACGGTTTAGGAAGACGCTTCTGCTCCGTTCAGCCCTACAAAGCTGACAGTGCGGTACGAGCTAGGCGCTTGCCGGACCATTCAAACACCTCCCTTTCGTCGCTTGCCCCCGCTCTCCGCGCGTGGATATGGGAAGGGAGGAACGTGGTCACGTGGTGAAAGACAGACGTGCGATTGGTCCAACGGGGACGTAGCCTGCATCGCGCTGTCAGTTTTCTCCTAAAGCAACAGCTCCCGCCGTGACACGTGGCGGGCCCCGCTTCAACGCGGGCATGGCACCGCGCAGGCGAGCCGACCAATGCAAATTCGGCTCGTGGTCAACAACGCCCAACAAACATCTGCAATATTTTTCTTTTCTTTTTTTCATCTTTATTATGCTAGTTCAGGCGAAGCCCCGCCACGAGCCGACGCAGCCCGCCCACACCAAGTCGTGCTCAATTCGCAAAATAGAAGCCACGAACGATCGTGCCGACAACGAACCCACCCACTACTCGCTGATGTTTCGTTTTTCGCTGTTACCGCTCACAAAAGGACGAAAAGGTTGCAACCGCTTTACCGGGAGCGAAACTGGGGGCGCTCGGAGGACACGGGCTAGAGAAGGAGGGTGGAAGGGAGAGAACGAGCCCCGGTCGAGGTCCGAGCACCCGCACAAGTTGCAGCAGACGACACCCGGAGTCGGTCGTGAAGGCGCGAACCCCGGAGTCCCAGCGATGGCTGCCAAGTATCGGAACACCACTTTGAGACTAAGCAACGTCGGGGTGAGGAACAGATCACGTCACTCCATCGTAGGAAGCACCGTAGCAACTTTTGTGCTCTTTTTCTCCAACTTCGGAATAGAGAATCGCACTCGTTCACGACGACAAACTTAAATGTCAATGCACCTGCATTACCAAAACAAAGAGAGAAAGAAACTTTCGAACGACGCGTAATGCCCGTGTCCCACTAGAGCGATAGACAGAAACAAAAGACAGCGACAAGCCTCAAACCCGTGCAGCATGCTCGCGATGGTGCCTTTGGCGGGCGTTTAGTCGTTCGGTGCTCGTGAAGTAAGCACGAGCGACTGCCTTCCAAAGATACCATCGCGCGCATGATGCTCGTGTTTCAGCATAGCCTCCTTTATTCTACAAAGCCTCTCGAATCGCGAGACTCTGGTTTGAGGCTTGTCGCTCTCTTGTTTCTGTCTGTCGCTCTAGTGGGACACGAGTATAAGGGTTTAAAAGTGATTAGGCAGCGCGCTTGCTAATCATAAACTTCTCATCTGCGTCTTTTAAGGTGTTTGAAGCGTTATCAAAGAGGCCTTTTCCTCAGCCAGGCGCACGTCATTAAAGACCTTCCACAACTCGGAGTATCCGTGCTTCAAAGCGCGTGTTTCATGGTCCTCGTTCGACGGCTTCATCCTTTGCTCACCACGCAACATACGAAATCGCATATAGAACAGCACCAAATTAGCGCACGGCATCGCTCACAGCTTGTCGTTTCCGACGCTCAACTGGACTATTACATTTGCTATCCCATGTCTTCCGCTGTGCAGGCACAACCACGATCTGCAACGTCGTTGGGAACAAGCGGGTAGTTTATAAGAACCCCTCGAATATCTTGCAACACGGAGGACCATCGATCAGACCACTTGATAGTATTTGGTACATCGACAGCAATTAAGCTAATTAAAAAGAACTATCAAATACGATGCTATTGAGAAAATACATCAATGTATTCATACAGATGGACATACCAAGTTTCGCGTAGCACTGCCTCGCGGCCACATCGTCGTTAACCGACCTGAAAACTCTACAATCTTTAAGTTTCGGTGCCCAAGCCTGCGCTTACAACACGCAAGAGAGATGCAGCATTGTAATACTTCGTCCACCCTTAGGACAGTTCAGTGTAGGGAGCCTTCATGTGCGCTGGTTCAGTGGAAACTACAGCATGCTCGTTGGAGCAACCATACGTCTATCTTTCGCCCCGTGATTCGATTCCCGCCCATACCCACGTGCAGAGAGAGGAGACAGGTGATGGTAGGCAGCAGGTTGAGTGGTCCGGCGAGCACGCAGCTCTCGCCGAGTATACACCAGCATGGAACGTCAGAGGAGAACCAACGACCCGAAAACCGTGTCACCCCGAGCCTGGGGATCCGTATCTGGATCTCTCCACATGCGATCGTAATCTCGGTTACACGGCGTCTTCTCCGCAATAAGCCTCGGTCGAGTTGCGGGCACCTCAGCTGGGATTCGAACTGGCCACCTGGGGATACATAGGCCGGAGTTGTCGAGGAGCGGCGGCAGAGGAACGTCGGCAAATGAAGCGCAAAAACTTTCTTACTGGAGAGTTAGTGGACCGTTCTGAAACCTCCAATAACGACACCTGATGACCGTACCATGCGTGCGCAAAGGCACCGGCGTAGCATCGGGTATCGATATCGGTACTATCTATTAAAATTCCCTGTGTAGTGGCTCTATATAGTGTCACCCCTCCCTTCTCGCTGCAGTGGTACCCGTACGTGTTTACCGTCAACCAGCAGGACGGGACGTTCCGTCTCAAGGGCATCACAGGCTCCATGATCGACTACATCCTCGCGTCCATGGGAATCAAGTGAGTGGTGAAAGACCGAATGGCTGCAAGTCTTAAAGACAAAAAGAAGAAATGAAAACTTCCCATCCCGTCCCGGCCCGGCGGGATGGGATGCCTCCCTGATCGACCCGACCCGGGCCCGGGCCGGGCCGGGCCGGGCCCGGCCCGATGAGATAAGATATGAGATGGCTTCCTGATCAGGCCCGATGGCGCGCCTCCCTGACCAGCCCCGACCCATGGCCCGGCCCGATGGGACGGTGATAAGGGGCCGGCACTTTCGATGCATGAATTCGAACCGATTTGTTTCAGTTTTCCAATGCACGCAGAGCTAATCGCCGCGACTTAGTCGGGTTTTCAATACGACACGCGCATTACAGGTGCCTCATGACAAGCAAAGAACAATACTTTATCAGTCTCTCTACTGAGTGAATCATGTTCACAGGCTGCGCGACAGCTTCCGTTGACAACCGCCGAGTGGCGCGACGAGGGCGAGAATTCATCCAGTGCTTTAGAGAGGCTTTCACTGCGTCGTTCGCGTTTCTTTCGTTCAGGACTGTAGTTTTAAGATCGTGCGAATTCGCTACAATGTCAGGTCTCACATTGCTAAGAGGAGGAAAACAAAGAAATTTCTCGAAGAGGTGAACATTCTTGCACTGTAAAGTGCGGGGGTGGTGGAGGAAAAAGCGAACAAGAAGCGAAGCAACGTAACGCCAATTCGGGAATCCCACCGCGGACGCCCACTCGCAGATACCAGCTCGTGGATCCGTCGGACCACAAGTGGGGCAACCTGGAGCCGGACGGCAGCTGGAGCGGCATGATCGGACAAATAAACAGAAACGTAAGCGCCGGGCCCAGCGCCCCATCGAGCGTTTAAAACGGAGCACCCGTTGCGGCCGGACGGGCTCGTAGACGACGCGGGGCAACACGCACGGCTAACAGTGCGGTTTCGGGGAGGCGTGGTCGTGCACACAGAAAGGCGCCAGGTGCTGGTCGGAAGTTTTGGAGAAAAGGAAAACAATAACAGATGTCCAGCGGTGCAATTCGCTTTGCTTCCGCAAAGTCGCACTGCAGGAAGATAACAAAACAGGGAACAGATTGGTTCGCGCCAAGCCCAGAGACCAATTTCGCGCCGCGAAGCAGCCATGCGAGTATACAAAGCCTCCACATTTCAAAGCAGGCTTTCTTTCCCCCTTTCTTGTTTTTTATTCCGTGCACGCATATGTGTTTCTATGGAACGAGCAAAATAACAACGGCACGTTTCAACACGTCATCTAGAACGAACTTCGGAGGAACGTTGATTATTGTCTGCGACGAGGCTTCGGGACCACGGGGAAAAGGAATGCGTGCCGCTACGCAACGTAGAAACGGCAATGTTCGAGGTAACTCCGCCCGGTCGTTGCAGTGCCCAACTATCCATCCGAGTCTGACTTCCCTACGGTCACTCTGCGCTCTTACGATTGCTACCTGGCCGGGAATGAAATTCTCTTTCCACAAACAACCACCGTAATCACGAAAAAAATTATTTTCCAACATTTTAATTATTTATCGATTTCTTACCTACAGGGACACAGCACAAAAACTATCTTCAATAAAAAAAAACGTACGGCACAAAATATCCCCCCCCCCCCCCCCCAAACAAGAAAATAATAGTAATTAGAGAAATACTGTATTTCCGCAGGGATATTCATTTCAGCGATTTCGAAACGTGATTCTGTTTGAATCTCGCAGCGTATTTATTTATTTTATTTTATTTTATTTATTTTTTTTGCGGGAAAGATTGTGACAGCGTGTCCTAAGAACTTAGTTTCTGGTTAGTTCTGTTTTCATTGAAGACGGATGCTTCTTCGAGTGTGACCTCTGGAGCTTCTGGTTGTATTCTTGCCAGAAACGACGCTCTCGTGACGCGCAGGAGGCGGACCTGGCCCTGGGGCCGTTCGTGCTCACCGAGAGAGAGGCCATGGTGGCCAACCCGTCGCCGCCGTACACCGACGAGGACATGATCATCCTGAGCGGCGTGGCCAAAGAGCACAAGTCCAACGTGTACGGCTACATCTCCGCCTTCGACCTGCACGTCTGGATGGTCCTGCTCTGCTTCCTGGGCTTCGTGGCCACCGTGGCCGTCGTCGCAGAATACCTGGTCAGTACACGGGCACTTTTGGGCAGACCTCCGGGTTTGGGCACACCTCCGGGAGTACTCCCGACGACGGGTCTTAAAAGGAACGCTGAACTTCCCTTACATTTTCTTTCTAGTGCCTAGGTAGGACACGTATGTTTAAATTCACTTCCCCTTGTTTTCTCGTTGTTTCGAGAGCTTTTGGAAGCTGGCAGACTCCTTGTACCTCCCGGTGTGCACGTCGCACGCGCTTACGGACGCTAGCGACATCCAGTTAGCTTCCACGAGAATGCGATTCCACATTAATAACTTCGACAAGACTCGGGGTGACAGCACGTCAATATAACGCCGACAGCGGGAGGGTTAAAAACGAAAGATGCTCAAGAGAAATCCCTGAACTGCTAGAAGAAAACCTATGTGAGAGTTGCTGAATTTCTCGTGCGTCCGCTCTTGCCCTACAGCTGTCCAACCCCGAGATGAGCATCCGGCAGCGTCGTCAGCGGCTGACGCGGATCTTCTGGACCTTCGTGGCGTCGGTGTTCCTCGAGAGCTCGACGTTCAACTTCACGAGCCACTCGCAGCGGCTGCTCTTCGGTTTCTGGTTCCTCATGATCGTCGTGCTCATGAACACTTTCGTCAGCTACATGGAGTCGGCGCTCATGCTCAAGGAGGAGACTGACCGCGTGGAAACCATCGAGCAGCTGGCCCTCCATCCCGACATACAGCCTATGGTCTTCGAGGCAGCGGGGTTCCTCCAAGTCATCAGGGTGCGTGTCTTGTAGCCTCACTATAAAGACGCTAAACGGGTTACGCTTCAGAGTATCAACCGATTCCCCATCTCAGAGTACACCACTCATAGACGGGAATCCTATCATATATAATGAACATCTCTCTCTCTCCCCCTCTCTTTCTTCGATTGCTTCGTGAGCGCCGCCGTCTTGTCTAGTGCAGAACGGGCGCAACTGGAGATAGTTACACGATTCAAGAATGCGGCTATCGGAGCTTTTGGATACGTTGTTAGGAAGCTAAGGGTATATCGTTTTGCGGACTCAATATTTCTGTAGCACGGAAACGAGTTTCGTGGATTTGAGACAACGTTTCAAATAATTAAGCAACAAACGGTTGACGTGTTGCTCTGAAGCGCAGATTATAAGATGGCTATGTCGCATTAGAAGTCTCAACTCCGACAGCCGATGGCATAGCAGTCCTTCCACGCATTTGGGTTGAGAATTAATTTCCAGGCTACACTGAAATAAGGCTAGCGTAACTGTGATAACCCTGCAACCGAATATCCCCAGTAAGATATTCCGCGTCCACCGGACACTTTGCTTTGACTACCCACAATTATAACGTAACACGCAGCTCATGTGTTTAACTCTGTACGAAGGCGGCAATCGAGTTTAGTGAGGGAGGCATTCTCGCACGCGCAATGTGCTCGAGCTACTTTCCTGGTAAGCCGGCTTAGCCTTCCTCAGAAGATATAGAGCAACCGGTAGACGATCCCCTCGCTGTTTCAGTCAACCATATCGGAAAGTCGATTGATGCTTGTACGTGCAACTCGTCCACGTGACTAGCCAACGTGAGGCTCGCGACGCTTTTCTGCAGGAAGCAGAGGGCCAGGCCTTCCAAAAAGTGCTGCGCATGATGGAGGAGTACGACCACGAAGAAGAGGTGCACGGCGAAGAGCTGTTCACGCCGCCATACCTATCCATGGTCCTCAAGCGCAAGGCCGTTTTCCTGATGGAGCGCATCTCGCTGCTTGCCAGGGTCTCTCAACACTGCTACGACGTCGAGCTCAAGGGACAGGGGCTCTTCCACCTGGGCCGCAAGCGCATCCTCCAGATCAAGATGGTCTTCTACGTGAGGAAGACCATGGACCCCGTGCTGCAGGCGAGTGCAACGCCTCGTTCGCTGCGGCTTCCACCGTGATAGCCACACACCGGAAAACTGCCTGTTAACTTTCAGCGATATTGGTAACGCGGTGTGAGTCTTGCTCTGTACCACAGTCCTGTCTTCTGTTTGGTCTCCCATATATTGAGCCTCGCTGTACGCCAAGCTTCCTTCCCAGATTGCAGAAAATGACTCTCTCGGGTACTCTTAGATGTCTTCGAGTAGTTTCGTAGATGGTCGACTTCCCAACGAGGATGCTCGCTTACACCTTCCCGGCATAAAACTGTGAACCAATGGCTCTCGTTCCCTCGTATGTAACAAAATTAAAGTCACGAGTCAGACCTAACCTCGTTAATTACAACGTCGACGATCCAGATGACAGCCACGTTGACAGGCGCCATTGCGCCCCCGGTCACACGACCAATACATCGTACGAAAAACTGTCTGCTTACACTGTTCGAGGAATGTACAGTGCGCCGCAATATGAAAGACCCACTGGGAGCGCGTGGCCGACGTGGTGGCTGACGGGGGCGCTGCGAGCGCTCCAGGCAATTCCATTCTGCTTCGAGGGGAGGACGCTCACTCGGGGCTCAGCAGAAACCAATAAGCGCGCGCTTTGGCTGCGCCCCGAGTGAGCGTCCTCCCCTCGAAGCAGAATGGAACTGCCCGGAGCGCTCGCAGCGCCCCCGCCAGCCACCGCCTCGGCCACACGCTACCAGTGCGTTTGTTTCATTATCACATACATTATATTATACACGCTAAATTACCAATTTAAAATGAATTGTTTTTAAAAGGTGTTGATATTCATGCAATGACGCTGGCAGAGGTACGAGCATTATTTTAGGGTTGTTTCTATAGGTACGGCTAAGGCATACGGATCGCTGTACCACTGTATACCACAATGAATGTATCAATTTTTTTTTCTCTCGTTTTTGTTTGATCTATGGTCTGTACATTTAAAATAGTGTTCTTTCTCTCAATGTAGCTATTTTCTTCGTTTTTGAAATTGCTTAGGAATCGCCTGCTGTGAAAAGGGCCAGGACCTCCGTCAAGCTGCTGGAGCAGCTTTTGGTCTCGGTCCCCCGTTTCAGGGATGAAACAAAATAAAGATTTATATTCATATTATTCATATTGTAGCGCACTGTACGTTCCCTGCATAATGGTTTTGTCATGATACAGAAAAAAAAATAAAACTCTGCGGAGATTATTCAAGCAGACGTGCTTCGAACATGCGCGAGGCATGTGCGCAGATACTTCGGTGATTACGTCTGCGGCGAACCTTTTTGCATGATGCATGGGCACTGCGAGTGCGGCTTCAGGTCGCCAAAGTCGCGAATACGAAACAACGCGAAGCACGGAACGAACGTTGAGAAACCGACAATCGACGACAACAAAATGCTCAGAATTTAAAACCACACTACGCCCAACGTCTCAGCATAACTACTCTTTTTTTTTTCGTTCCGGCATTTACTTTTTATTTAAGAAAGCTGCACATTTGTCGGTGAAAAAACGAAGTGTTGCGACAAAAATGACCTGCTCGCGGTTAAAAAAAAGAAAATTATATATATATATATTTGCATTGCGATAAATAAGCGCGGTGTTGGATGCTTGTCTCGATACCGATATATGGTAATACTCGAATATTTCAAACCGTTGGAAAGCCAAGGTTCATCTGCAAGTCAGCCAGCGCCGTGTTTGCAAAAGGTGGCGAGATCGTCGCCGTAGGAATTCGATGAACACGCATGGATGAAATAAAATTAGGTGCCAGCTTCACTTCCCGCAAATTTCACAGAAATCGGGGGTTTTCCTCCCCAAATCACGCCGGAGTGTCGAAGTAATTTTCGTCATCGTCGAAGAACCACAAAGAAGGATTAAATCACCGCCATTTCCTGTGTCGCAAACTGCATGGCTCATTATTCGTTGGTATTCCCACGTGGCCATTGTTCGCGTCGACTTTGCCATGAATAACTGGTATTCGCAGAGATCCAAAGAAGCGACATCGAATGGAGAATATAAAGGAGTGGAATGAAAGTGATACATATATTAAAAAAGAAGTATTAAATAACCTGTAAGCTATCTACCGCGCCTAAAACGTACTGATCACACCGCCCTTATATGAACGCGGGCCTCGAGCGCAACCATATAGAACGAGATATCATTAGTGCAGAAACGTACAAAAGCAGAGTCGATGTATGAAATGAGATTGTTTTCGTTTTGAGAGTTTCTTTTTACTTTAAGGTACACGCAACATCGTATAATCTCAACTAAAAAATGAAAGCCATTTACCACTCCCTGTAACGCCGAATTAGAGCGCAGCTCTTGAGGAGGAGGAGGGGAAGGGTACTGAGAAGGTGTATCCTTCCTCCCTTCTCCTTACCTCCTCATCCTGTCTGCTACTCCTCCCCCTTCTCCCGCGCGTTTTTCTACACGCGAAAACGCGACGCGCTATGAACGCTCGCGCGGAAGCTGACGCGGGGGCACCCGCATGCAGACAGCGCCAAGCACCGCCGGCCGCGCCTCATCAGCGTTGCCAGATAACAGAATTCTCAACACGCGATGTAAATGTTGACGCAAAAACTACAAAATGAGAATTAAATGAACAAATAAGTAAATAAAACGGGTTTGAGTGTAAAAAAAAACACCTTTTTAGTTTTTATATGGAAAATAAAAATGCTTTTGACCACTTTGAAATGTGCTGAGTACGAAACAGCGTACTGTGCAGGATCACGTGATAGTTCGACCGACCCTCATTGGGTGAGAGCCGCTTCGACGCCGCGGCGTGCGCGTCTTTTTCTGGGTCGGCTAGAAACCAACGCTCCCGCGTAAACGCGCGCCCGCGCGCAAGAAATGACGTCAGGTTGACGCCGACGCGCCTGAATCCAGCAAAAACGCGCCATGTGGTCTGCGCTTTACGGTTAAGGAAAACACGTTACGGTTACGGCAACGCCGATGCGTTGCGCAAACTCATTACGGTTACGGCGACACCGACGCCACTCAAGCCGGAAACGGGCGCCTAAGAGCTGCGCTCTAAAAGAAAACGATACGACAAAACCCAGCGACAAAACAAATGGGGCGGAGCTCCCTCTAACACCTCAAATACCATTCACCTCAACAACCGTAGTAAAAAAGGTGGTGCGGCTCCACGTGGAACGTTACTAATTTCACCCTTCCTGTGTTGAATGAATTAAAGGAGCGATGCAACAATTTTTGTACTGTGCACAAATACCGCTTAAATCGGATCCCTAACGTTAATGACCTATGAAACACGCGTTCGTTTTTCACCCCACGCAATAGAAGTCCCAGAAAAAAATTTAAGAAAAACGAGCGGCGTTCACCCCCTCAACTCGCAGCCAGAACAAGCGGCCACGTGATCTGGAGCCGATTATATGCCGCCAGTGTTGATCATAGCCACGCGCAGGGGTTGGCAAAGCGCAGGACACGCGCTGAGTTCCAGACATTGTTATGGCTCGGCTGTTGTCGTCGTTGCAGCGATTGGACACGGGTCACAACCCGAATGCTTCTCGAGCTAGCAATTGTCACGAGCCCAAGTCGAGTGCCCACGCAATGCTCGGGTCCAATCTGTGAACCGCATTCAAATATCGTCACTTGGGTGTACTGCGATCCCCGAGTTACGTCATCAAATTTTGCAAAGGAGAGATTGAATGAAAATGATCGCTTTTGTCCTTGAAATTACACCACAACAAAGGAGTTTCTTGGCCAATGGTGTTGCGTGTGAGTATCCTTGAGTCCGAGGTGTGCCAGTAAGCAAGTGTAGAGAGAAAAACATTCCAATTGAATATCGTTGCACAGCTCCTTTAAGATGGATTAGGTGCATCTTAGAATTGCTTCGTTATTTTATCAAGACGTACGTATACGTTTCAAAAGCCGAAATCATCACTTTTTCATTCGACAACCTAATCTTCTAAGAACCCCTTCCACGCATGGCGCGCGTTCACAACACCATGGTGACTCGGCATATTTTTTTTTTTCTCGATTGAACGCACAGGAGGAGATCTTCAAGCGGGTCCGGTGGATCATGGACAGCGGCCTGAACCTGCACTGGCACGAGGACCTGATCCCGGACCCCGGGCCGTGCTGGACCAAGTTCCACCCGGACCACCTGCACGACTACGCGTCCCTCAACTACCAGGACTTCGCCGTCATCTTCTACCTGCTGCTCTGCTCGCACGGACTCGCCTTCTGCGGCTACCTGTCGGAACTGGTGCTCTTCCACTGGTGCTGCCTCAAGAGCCGCAGCCGCATCGGACCCAACTCTTACCTCAACTGAGGGCATGGAAGATACTAATACACAGCGCGCAAAGCACGAGGACGTTGTAGAAGTATGCGGGACAAGCGCTGATAAAGCAGCACGCAACCACAGCGGAAGAACCCCAACACGCTAAAAATATAAACACTAACGTTTCTCATAATCATGACCACTTGTCAATAAAATTTCTCTTTTCTATGAATATCGATGCATTGATGTCCGACTGATGGCCCGTTCACACTCTTGCAACCGGCTATGACTGAGAAAGACCAGACCGGTTTTTAAGCCTTAAGCGCCGTTCACACTCTTGCGACCGAGAGAGACCAGACCGGTTTTTAAGCCTTTTGCGACTTCTTAGGACCGGATGCGCAGCAGCGGAGCTGGTCCTAAGAGATCGCAAGAGGCTTAAAAACCGGTCTGGTCTCTCTCGGTCTTACTCGGTCGCAAGAGTGAACGGGCCTTTATGCGACCTCTTAGGACCAGCTCCGCTGCAGAGCATCCGGTCCTAAGAAGTCGCAAGAGGCTTAAAAACAGGTCTGGGGGGCTATGTTGCGCTTTTTGGACTCCCAGGAGACTCGGGAGAGGGAAGTGACGTCAACGACACAGCAAACGCAGATTGGGTGTTGATTTCTTTTTCTTCTGTCAACATCCAATCTGCATTTGCTGTGTCGTTGACGTCACTTCCCTCTTCCAAGTCTCCTGGGAGTGCAAAAAGCGCAACATAGCACCCCTGGTCTCTCTTGGTCTTACTCGGTCGCAACAGTGTGAACGGCGCTTGTATTTTGTATGTGCAAAGATCTTGGCACATACAAAATACAAGCAACAATCTGAACCGATCCACCGGAACGCTTCCAAGCAGCTCTATACACGGACTAAAGTGCGCCTCACACAGAAACAGAAGAAGAAAACAAAGCTAAGAGAGAGAAGAAAACGACGACAGGCTGCTACGTTTGTGCCCATATACGTCGGGCAGATTGAAGAAATTGGTTAGAGTCTACGTAGTACTTTTTCTTTTTTATTTCTTGTTTGTGGACTGATATTAAGACACAATTCAAAGTGCGCCGGAAGCTTCGGCCCAAATGACGCGCGCAAGAATGACGTATTGTGACGGCCCGCCATCGTTTTTTCGACTACAATTGCAACCTTATCCATAAAGCACATGGCCCTGCTAAAAAACCGTCTTTTGCCCTCACTATTACATTGTTACTAATTAATAATAGACATTAGTTCCATCTAAAGTCTACCGAGCCGGATAAAGTACGTTCGAACTAAAAGCAAGCCCCGTATATTGTGTGAAGAGAATCGAGCATTACATTAAACAGGTCGGGTGATATCTGTCGAATTACGTGTAAATGAGTCGCAATTTACCAAGTCGTGCCAAAGAAGCCGAAAAGAAAACTCGACCACCACGTTCACTGAACTAATTAATGGCCATCAGAAAGTCTCATCCGTTTCCGCGTTCGTGCGAATAGCCATATATGCGCTTGTCAGACAGGCTTATGCAGGACGCAAAACAGCAGACTTCTTAACGAACCTGACTGTATACACTGTTCCGTAAAGTCAAATAAAACATCGAGATACGACAGAGCATTCCGTGCGGGTCACCTATGGAATTTTTTTGTTATCTCCCAGGCAGCTGATTCGCACACGTTCTCTTCTTGCAGACACCCGGCCCAATTCCAACAAACTTGTCCCCCAAACAAGAAAAAAAGAAAGGGACATGTTTTGTTCAATCGAGCCACCTGCGTAAGCACGAGCAGCGGCCATAAACACCCCCAACAAAAGTGTCCACGGCATTCAAATAAGGAAACCAAAGGGAAAGGTGGAAACGCGCCGTTACACACAGACAGACACACACAGATTCGAACAGAAATACAGAATTAAAGGTAAACCCACACACGCAGCAGTAACAACGATACGTGGAGAGAGGGGATCACGTGACAGGGGGAGGTCAGGTGACAGGGTCCGGCAGCGCGGGGCGAGCGCGTCGCGTTCCTTCTTCCTGGCGGCGTGTGACAAAAACCACGCGGAACGGCGGCGTGAGCTTCGGAGGCCATAAAGTGTGGCACAATGTCACGCACTCGCGCCACTCGGCGCCGCGGCCCTGAACACACCCGGTTCCGCGGGCACAACACAAAAGAAGTGGCGGCGAGAGGGGAGAAGGGGTTCCGACGGGGGGGCAACGCACTTTGGGCCTGCCTGCCTGCACGGTCGTCCCGTCCGTCCGGCGAGCGCGAAAGCGGTCTGGCGGCTGGCCCAGACAATGGCCGCGCTGCCGCCGGTGGACGACGATGACGACCGGAGGATGTTGCTCGACCAGGGAAGAGCCGACGTGGCAGACGGCCATTCCGTCGGCGGATACGCCCCATCGGAACTGCCGCCGCCGTACGACGTCGCAGCAGGGCTTGTCAGGCCGTCAAGGGGAAGACCACCACAGAGCACGTCAAGCACTATACGCCTCGCTAAGAGACGTACTACCGGCGCCTTTTAGGGCCTGCTAAGCTGCTTCAAAGGTCATCCGCGCATTCCGCATCTTTGCACATCGGCGATTCATAGATATCAAGCGCTCGGCGTACGGACAAATGAAAGAGGCGCTGTGGTACAGTGTACGCAGTCATAAAAAAAAGGGATAATTACAATAAGTTCCTAGACAGAACGCCGGCTCAACTATCCAGGACCACTAGTTCCTTAGCTAAACTAGTATTAGCGTAAAAGGAGCACGAATCCGCCAGCCCTTCTTTACCCGGTCCTGCCGCGCATCACAGCTATCCGAGACGAGTTATCAACGAAAGAAAAACCAAATACAGTTTCTGCCTTTGCAAGCATGCAGCGTCAATGAAGATTAGCAACCCCGAGTATCGCGACGTGCACCGCTGAATACGCTTTAATTACCGCACACTAGCCGTTGTACCATCCACATACATCGGAACGATTATAGATGTGAATACTCACGCGGATGTGTAAACATTCGATTTTCTGATTCCCAGCATGGTACGTTACGTAGAGAGAATCGGTCAGTTGAACTGCATAGACCGCTCGCCCAGACAAACAGCTTTAGTCTCACTCGTTCATAAACCACAGCTTACATAGACGACGCTGTAGCAAAGCCCTCGACCATTAGCGGAATTGAGCAGGAAGCGTGGTCATGAACACACTCCCATAATTATGAAAGACTCGTTTGGCTAAAGCCGGGGTCACCATTGCCGATTCCCCTCCTACAAAAGACACTCTGCAAACACGAGTCACCACATTATCCGTGGTCCGAATGCCGCGTGCCCAGTTTCCTCCTTGAACTCATTTCCATGGTGCATTGGAAGCACGGATCTTGCGGTGACTCGTGTTGGAATCTGTATGCAGAGTATGTTTTGGATGATGTATAAGCAGTGTGATCCCGGCTTTGGCCCACTTCAATTTTAGAGAGGGCAATACAAACTTTCATTTATTTCCTCACCCCAAGTATGAACGCCTCGTACCAAGGGCAAGTTCATGCTAATAAAAATCATTTGCCCTCTCAATCCTGCCGCCTGAAACCGAGCCGCTCAATGGGTCTTTCGCAGTGTCGGAGACCGTACTTGCTTCCAGTGCTGCCCGACGTTTATACAAACTTCAGCATCGAAATATACAACTCATGTTTGAACAGCAAGCGAGCGAAACGTTTCTTTTAGTCTCTATCGTGTTCAGAAGGCCATCGTTTGAACGAGCGACTTGTTTTGGTCGAGCGAGTCATACGAAGAAAAATGACAACTTCGGCACGCCCGATAAGCAATCTCGAGTGAGCGTCACGCCGCATATCTCGAAGCTGATGAAGACTCGGCCATTTCTTAAAGGGCATACTGCCCACCTCAGTAGGGCGACGAGACCGGTGTTTTGAGCATTTTCAGGAGATACCGATAAACCCGATAAACACCCCCCCCCCCCCCCCACAAAAAAAAAAAAAACGCTTGGAATTGTTTTTGTTTCTCAAGCTTCACAGTGGATCTCGTCTGGCACCATAAATACCCCACAAAAACACGAGTGTCGAGTCGCAGGCAAACGAGGCAGAGCGCGGTTCCGCTCCCTCAGTTAAACCACGTCAAGTTGACGGCGCTTGACTTGGAAAGCGATCATCAAAAGAGGCGACAACGACCGACGGCCCCGAACGAGGAAGCGAAGCCGAGCTGGCCACGTCCGCCAGACAGACGGCCGTCTCTGTTGGAGCTCGCTCAAATTAAGGCCGCTCGTCAAACCGCATCAACTTCAACTGGTCCCCGTCTCCCGTTAGCCCGGCCTTAATCATGCATCAAGTCTTACACGCGCTGCTTTTGCTTGTTTGCTTTCCAGCGGTGCACGATTATTACGTCATATCTAATTGCACACCCCCAGTATATGTCACTACCCAGTAGTTTAGCTGCTATCAAAAGGGGTACGTATTAGTAACGTGACGCGGACATTGTAAAGACGACGTCTTCCTAGTGGTAAACGAACTCGTTAACTACGAGGGGGCACACGGCGGCACCGAGCGCTCGATGGTTTTGATGGACACGGCTTGCAACAGCAATTCTTGCGTTCTTGTTGAAACAACGCTATCAGTACCACCGCAACTCAACGCCCGCGTAGGCTAAGGTTGGACACACCTGTGTCGTACGAAGAGCGACACAGGTAGGCGGATATGGCTTGCCGTGTCTAAGAACGACGTTTCACGATGACACAGAGCCTCTCAACTACGCACCAGCATTCCCCAGGGCTTACCACAAGATAGACGCAAATGTCTCAAGCGACAGCAATATTGGATAATGGGCGATACTCAGTGACGAACTCTTGTCTCCGGGCTCACAGAAAGGGCCAAAACTGCCAAGAAAATAACGAGTAAAAAATAAAGCGGCTCGTTGATTCCATGCCGTCCATTCTCTGTAGCACAAACTTATAAAAGCTTAAGTATAAACAATGCGGGAAAGTTTCTTTTTGACAATTAGTATAGTTTTGCACAGATGCCATAGACTGAAATGAAAGCGTTCAAAGTTGCCAGACTGAATTTTGAAAAG